GGCCCCTTTAATCTTTGGTTATACTTCCCTTTTGGGTGTTTAAGGACATACAATTGGACCAGATAAACTGATTTGTTTTTACTCTTGAGGTCGTTTGAGGATCTGTTCCTCAGGGGTCCCATGGGCTTGGGAGGAGCCCCTGGCTCCTTCCATCTATGTGAAGATAAGTCAAAGGTCCTAGCAGGAACTTTTGAGTGATTCCAAAAGGCAGAGCTAGGAAACCCGGGGTCAGGCTCAGATTGGTGTGAGGAAAGCCTGTGGACAAGAGGCTTATTAGCCCTGGACTGTGTGAGGGTAATCACAGAGACCACAGCAAGAAGCACTGCACTCAAAAGCTATCTTCCTCTGGCAGTGTGGTGCATGATAAAGACATCAAGGTAGACCTGGCTGTAGAGGCTTCTACTTCTGGCACAAGCCAGTGCCCCCTGAATAAGGTGCTGTCTTGTCTCCTGCTGAGTGTAAGCCTTATACTCTTGAACAGCATGGAGACTGGCATCAGTGCTTGGAGGAGATGAGTATGGATGCTTCCAGAGGAGATCTGTATGTTCTCCTGTATATGACTCCCAGTAGGTAGCTAGAATTCCAGCTTTCTCCTTGACCCTGACATCATCTTCTCTCATCCTCATAGGCTGGGCCTGGATGGCATGAAAATGCAGGTAAGGGCTAAGGCTGCAGGCTTTCTTTGCAGCCACCTGTACTCTTCCTCTTCCTTTTTTTTTTTTTTTTTTTTTTTTTTTGAGACAGACTCTCCCTGTAACCCCAGCTTCCCTGAAACTTGCTATGTAGACCAGGCTGGCCTTGATCTCACAGAGATCTGCCTGCCTCTGCCTCTTGAGTGCTGGAACCAAAGGAATACAACCCCCAAACCTCTGGTGATAATCCTGTGGAAGCAGTGGTCTTCCTTGGCAACTTGGATGCAAACTGGGTTAGGGCTTTTGGGAGATGAACCTAAGGAATGAGTAGGCATGGTGGTACCTAGACTGGGGAGGGCCTGAGGCTCTTCTTAGAAGAGTCTACCCATTTTTTATCCTTTTAGATTCATTAAGATTTAAAAGTGACAGGCATAATGGCACATGCCTGTAAACCCCAGCACTGGATTGGTTGAGGTAGGAGAATTGTGAGTTTGAGGCCAGCCTGTGCCACATGGCAAGACCTTGTCTCAGAATAAAAAAAGAAAGAAAAGGTGACTTCCCCAATAAAATTCTGGCAGTACATGAGTAGAGGCTGAGTCACCCTCTATGTCTGTGGGTCTGTGGGACCATTGGTACCTCCTGGGGTACTTTGTTCTCTGTGGTTGGGTATGTTCTTATGTGTCCATTTGTAGCCTTTGATCAGGGTGGGCTAAACCACAACAGATCCAGACTTGGCTCAGACTCTGCAGAAGACCTCATCCTGTTGCTGTGATGGGAAAGTAGCACTGACTGGTATGGGCCTCTCCTTTGTGAGGCCACCTGGAGGCTCCTGGCAGGTCACAAGGACCTGTGTCCTCAGCTCCTAGGAAAACACTGGGTGTTGTGCCTCTACAGTCACTAGTACAGGAGGAGCCCTCCAGGTCAGACGGGTGTGGCCATAGCTGGAAATTATATGAGGAGTTCCTTTCTGTAATGTATAGTGGTAAAGGTGGTGGTGGGCAGATATATGTGGGTGCTCAAGGAAGGAGGCAGTGGTTTGCTGGAGACAGCACCTAGTGTGTGGTCAGCAACTTTCAAGGTCCTTCCAGGGCTCTGGCTGATGGGTGGACAATGGATATGCTCCTTTTTTGGAGATGTTTAGCTGGGATCTTTCGGGTCCCTAGGATCTGTGAGAGAGCTGATAGTATGTAATTTCCCTATAAGGTTGGGGGCCTAGGGTTTTTGTCAGATGTTTTAGAGGTCCCTGAACAAAACTCACTGGTGGATTTGACCACCCACTTCCTGCACTGAGACTGTTGTCCAGAGAACCAGGTTTCTAGGGTAGGATTTGAGGTGGGCCTTCTTCAGCCCATTAAGGCCCTAGTAATGTGTCAACTGAGTCCCTGCTACCTCAGGCATACTTGGAAATGGAGGCAGGGTGTTGTTTCTTGTTGCTCCGTGATAGTTCGCTGCTGTTACGAGGTGGAAGAGCCCTCAAGGGATCATACAGTCCTGGAAATATCCCGAGAGAGTTGTCATTCTGCTGAGGCCTGTGAAGGCAGGTGGGGCTCTGTTAACCACTTCTGCCTGCGCGACAGCATTCTTTCAGACCTTGTTAGCTACAAAGGTGCACAGGGGTCAGAATCTGGGATGGTATACTGTCTGGCCAAGTCTCTTTATATCCTTGCATCCTGGGAGGCAGTGGATTGGATTGCTATATATAATATCTGAATGAGATGTTTGTTATAGGGCACCAATGGATCACAGATCTGGGACACCTCATTTGCCATCCAAGCACTGTTGGAGGTATGTGGCTCTGTTTCTCCATGCAACCCCTACCTGACCTTTCTGTATGCATGGGCCACACATACATCCCGAGAGACATGGTACTGCTTACTACTGTCCTTTAAGGTTATCCTGGGGGCCATTAGCCTGGTCCCCAAACCCTTGATGATAATCCCGTGGAAGTGCTGGTCTTACCTTGGTAACTTGGATGTAAACCAAGTTAAGGCTTTGGGAAATGAGCTGAAGGAGTGAGTAGGCATGGTGGTACCTAAGCTGGGGAGGGCCTGAGGCTCTTCTTAGAACATTAGCTGCTACTTGTGCTAGAGAGAAATGAGAGTGTTTCTCTGAAGTGGGAATAAGAGTGGTGAAGTTTTGAGGATGTCTTTGGACAGCCCAAGGCCTACATCCAGTTGGTCAGTTTGCAAGAGTTGGGGCAAGATATTGGAGGACTGTCTCAACTGAGCTATCCCACTGTCTTATAGGCAGGTGCACATCACAGACCTGAGTTTTTATCCTGTCTGCAGAAGGCTCATGAATTCCTACGGCTTTCACAGGTGAGGCCTCTGCTCCTCCTTCTCTGCTTCCCCAAGCTGGCTTTCTTAGATTTTCTCTTCTCTTGCCACCTAGTTCCTTTGCACCCAGAAACCCCAGGGCAGCTTTGTCCGTGGGCTGCAGTGGCCAGTCACCAACTGGTGGTTTCTGTTCTTTGTGCTAGAACAACTATGTCCAGCGGTCCAAAGCCAGCCTGTGGCATAGTCAGGAGCTCTGTCCCTAAGCTCCACAGGCTGTTCACACCCTAGCATCTTTGAGATGTCTTAGACCAGTTGAATCACTTGACACCAGTGTAACCATCTTTCCTGACAGATCAGTGTCTCGCATTCCCACCTACCATGCCCACGTATAGCCCCCATCATGCACCACTCTCTTAGGCTGGCCTTGCACACCCTGCTGCAGATGCAGTGAATGCCTCCAGTCTTGGTCCCATTGGCATCCTCCTGCCTGGAGCCCTCATGCCCCCATCTCTCTTTGATTTCACTAGGATGCAGCTTCTTCAGGCTCCTCCAGGTGACTGATTCCCATGTCTGCTTAGGGCTGTTGGAAGTGAGTTAGCATTGCCTGTCTTCCACAGCAAGGCCTGCTTCTAGCTGTAGCCTGTGACATTCACTGAGTGATCAGGCCTTAGGAAACAGAATGAACCCCACTGCACACACAGGCCTGTTTGCTATCTTGTTGAGCTGATAGGTGCATCTCAGGAGTAGTGTGCCCATGATGCCAGGCAGGAGAGTGGTTTGTTCAGCTCTCTCTGGCTGATCCTATTATCTAGGCTGTAGGTTCCATTAGTCCCTTACTGTACTGACTATAACCAGCTTCCAGATGGCAACACAGGGCTGCAGGTGCCAACATATGTCTCTGCTTTTGCATGTGCTCCTTGCTACTATCCAGGTTCCAGACAACCTTCCTGACTATCAGAAGTATTACCGCCAGATGCGCAAGGTATGTATGGACAACCCACTCAAGCCCTAAGCTCAGCTGGTCTTTCCCTTTGAGGAGGGCTTTCTTTGTGGTTTTCAAGCTTCCTGCTCTGTAGACACCTCTTGTTGGGGGTTCCATGTTGAGGTGAAGTGAAGACAGGGTATAAAGAATTCAGAGCCAGCATTAACCTGCTTACGCTGTAAGGGCCTGCTGTTGGTGCAGGTTGTTGAATAGATGTTGACATAGCCCCTCTCTTTTCGTAGTGGGTTGTAGGGTACCTGTGCTGCTATTTAGGTCCTGGACATTCTTCCTTTGGTGAGATCTTCAGACATTCAGGGTGGGGAAAAGGTCCTAGAGGAGGAGCCCCTGTGCCAAAGCTGAGATCCATTCAGATATACCCAACTTCTATACCCCTGTGCAGTGGATGGGCCTCTGCCCTGATCTCTACAGCTTTATAACAGAGGGACACTGTAGCTCTGGATGGTTATACTCTTTTCTCTGCAGGGTGGTTTCTCCTTTAGCACGCTGGACTGTGGTTGGATTGTTGCTGATTGCACAGCTGAGGCTTTGAAGTCTGTGCTGCTCTTGCAGAAGCAGTGTCCTTCTGTCACCGAGCACATCCCCCAAGAGCGGCTCTGTGATGCTGTGGCTGTGGTGAGTGTCCCACCCCAAGCGTACCTTCACTTCTATGATTCTGCTAAGGCCAGGCTATAGGAGCCCACCTTCAGACAGCATCAGAGTTTGGAAGTCTATGAACCCTGGGCTAGACCCTTGGTGCTTTGATTGGCTATGTGCACAGGGCTCTGTGCTGTAAGAGATGGTGCCTGGCCAGTAGCTGGAAGCTCCAGTGAATCTGTGTGGTCCCTGAGGCTTCTTTTGGCTTTGGCAGCTCAAGGCATTGCCCACATCTGTGCTGAGATTCCTGCAGGTCTCATTTGGAAGAGTTGGTGGTCTCTGCTGGATAGCCAAAGGGAGGTTGAGAACTTGTTTTCATTTTTGTGCAGAGTCCTTGTAGTGTATCTGGTTCTAGTGTATATTTTACCATGGAGATCTGCATTGGTCTAGCAGTGACAGTGACATATATGTGCATTAGAGTGTGACTCCAGATGTTGTGTAAAGCCCTGACTGCTGTGGCTACAGCAGCTGTATTGGGCACCCAAGGGCTCAACATGAAAACTGGCTTCACATCCCTTATTACTGTTCTATTGGTCATCAGCCTGTGGAACCTCTGGAAAGCTTCGCTATAACCTGTGTGCTTAGTTCTCAGGGTTTCCTCTCTTGTTTCAGTTGTTGAGCATGCAGAATTCCGATGGAGGGTTTGCCACCTATGAGACTAAGCGTGGAGGGCACTTGCTGGAGCTGCTGAATCCGTCAGAGGTCTTCGGTAAGTGTGTTGGCTAGCAGCATGGTCTATAGGTTAAGCCTTACATGTTGGCAGGTCCATGTAGAGCCATTCATGAGCCTCAGAGTGGTGGAGTTTGTATTGTTGATGAACAGCTGTAATTCAGTCTTAGACAATGGGAAACTTGGGTTGCGTTTGTACTCTTTTTGCCTTAGAATGGGCCAGCTCCTGCTTATTCACAGGACCTTGTGCTGTGTGGAGGCCTCTATATACCCTGAGTATGCTCCGTGAGTCCCAGCATCTGTAAGGGCTTGTGTCAAGGGCTGCTGGGCCATGGCTGCACATTGCCAGTAAGGTTCTGGTCTGTCAGGGCAGGTTCTTTCTGCACTGACTCTGGCACCTGCTGTACCCTTCCTTCTTAGTGTCTGATTAATTTTATTCCTTGACCGGTCAAACATGTTTTTAGGGGGTATAGTCCAGCTGACTCGTGTATGTCTTGGCACCATCCAGTCTCACCCTGTGTAGCATGTAGCATAGGTGTGCAGGCTTCAGTCTACCCATTGTGACCATGGATCCTGGCTTGGTCTCAGGTAGCATCTGAGTTCAGGTTCTGCACACTGTAACACTCTTGCTCACCGCATTCTGGTCTGAATTGTAGGGCCAGGGCTACCTAGGACTGAGACTTCTGTCCTTCTTTCCCTTTCTAGGAGATATCATGATTGACTACTCATACGTAGAGTGCACCTCAGCTGTGATGCAGGCGCTGAGGCATTTCCATGAACACTGCCCAGATCATAGGGCAGCTGAGATCAGGTAAGGAAGGTGAGACCCAGGATTTCTTGCCATGTAGCCACTGTCACTGAACAGGGCTACAACGTAGCTAATACAGGCTTTGGTTTCCGCAGCAGGGCAACTGGAGAGAGTGGCTAGAGTAAACATGGGAGCAGTTGCAATGGGTTATTTTTTGGTTTTTTTTTTTTTTTTTTTTTTTTGGTCTTTTTGAGACAAGGTCTCCCTGTAGCTCCAGCTGGCCTGGAACTCTTATGGTAGAGCAGGCTGGCCTCGAACTCACAGAGATCCGCCTGCCTCTGCCTCCCAAGTGCTGAGATTAAAGGCGTGCACAGCAAGCCCAGCTTCAATGAGTTATTTTTCATATTGGATATTCTTGAGCATGTTTTTTTTTAAGTGGGGAGAAGGGGAGGCCATGGAGGTGAGGTACGGGGCTGGCCGACCCCACCGGAGCCCAAGTGCACCTGTGCTGGGGTGGGGGCCGCCGCCCCACCTTGAACATGTTTTTAAATGGACAACATAAGTAGCTTCGCCATTGGTGTCCAAGTATATTGACAGGCAGCAAATGGTCAGAAAAGCTTGGAATTGTCATATGGGGACATGGCCATCACCTGATTTACATCCACCTCTCTCATCCCCCATGAAGAGATCACACTCCTGCCATCCTGCACTCTAAATCATGAGTTACTAATACTTACTTTGAACCTACCCGTGTAGAATCCCAGTGTAGACACATGCTGGCTGACCTCTTGTACTCTGGTACATGTGAGCTTGGGACTATTTTGATTTAGAGGAACTACTAACACAATACTCCATTTTTCCCTCTGATTCTTTTTTTTTTTTTTTTTTTCAACGTGTATGTGTGTTTTGCCTGCATGTGTGTTAAGTGTACCACATGCTTGATATGTATACAGAGGTCAGAAGAGGGCATCAGAGCTCCTGGAACTGAAGTTATAGATGGTTTTTAGCTGCCATGTGGGTGAACCTGGGTCCTCTGCAAGAACAGCCAGTGCTCTTTACCAGTGAGCCATCTCTCCAGCCCCTTCCTCTGCTTCTTACATTCTTTTGGTGTCCCTGCTTTTGTGATGTTACTTGAGTCTTGGGCAGGTTGGTATAGATGTTTATTTTTCTCCATCTATGATTGAGTATTGGGCCAGTGTGTCATAGCAACAGTTACTTTGTCTCAGGATTTTGACTGGTTATGAGTCTTTATGATATACCTCCCATTATAAAAGCTTCCTTCCAGCTGGGCATGGTGGTAGACACCCCTAATTACAATACTTGGGAGGCAGAGGCAGGTGGATAGCTGTGATTGAGGCCAACCTGGTTTACATAACAGGCCAGCTGGGGCTACAGGGAGATCCTGTCTTCCAAAACAAAACCAAAAACCCCAAAAAGCTTCCTCTCATGACTGACTAAGGCTGACAGCAGTAGTAATGTATTGGAATAAACTCAAATGTTTAGAAGGCATTTTGGTAGGCATATCACACCTATTTATAAAAGAATAGCAATAGGGGCTGGAGAGATGGCTCAGTGGTTAAGAGCGCTGACTGCTCTTGCAGAGGACCCGGGTTCAATTCCCAGCACCCACATGGCAGCTATGAACCATCCTTAACTCCAGTTCCAGGGGAATCCGAAGCCCTCTTCTGACCTCCGCAGTAATGCACGACATGGGTGCACTCACATACATGCAGGCAATACACTCATACACATAAATAAAAATAATAAAATATTTAAAAATAAATAAAAGAATAGCAATAGCCTCCCCATTGGGGCCTATGGTTTCCCCAGCCATGGGCTTTTTGCCTTGGCTTACAGTACCAAATGTGAGTTTCTTCCTTGGAGTGGGCCTGAAATCCAATCAGAAAGCATTTGATTGCATCCATTGCAGTTGTGTCACTATTTGTAGCAGTAGGACCATCTTGGCCAATATGCTTGTATTGTAGCAAGCAGGGTCCATAGCTGAGCAGGACTTTTGGTGATCACTCTCCCCCAATAGCTTGCAGGCTATCTTCTAGTATTAACAAAAGCCAGCTAGCAGGGAAAGAGTTTCCTTCCAGTTTAGTCTCAGCCCGATTTCTTCATATCGTTCAGCCAAAGCCTGTGGTGTCTTTAGTAGTAGAGACTTAACATCAAGTTTTGGTATGCAACCAATAGTAGTAGCAGTAGCCTTATGGTTTGTGGGGCCTCAGGCTTCCCTGGGCAACAACTAGCACTGAAAAAAAATTTGGTCGTTTTTGAGACAGGGTCTCCCAGTAGCCCCAGCTGTCCTGGAACTTAATACTGTGTAGAGCAGGCTGGGCCCAAACTGACAGAGATCCACCTGCCTCTGCCTCTCAAGTGCTGGGATTAAAGGCGTGCACCACCATGCCTGGCTTGCATTGAGATTTTCATTCAGCAACCTAATAGCTTCTGGAATGCCCGGTCCCATTTACGTGGGGTATTTTGTTTAAATTCCTTAACTCTAAAGCTGGGTGTGGTGGCGCACTCCTTTAATCCCAGCACTTGGGAGGCAGAGGCAGGTGGATCTCTGTGAGTTCGAGGCCAGCCTGGTCAACATAGTGAGTTCCAGGCCTTATTTTGATATATCACAGTGAAAGATTTATCGTCCTCTTTTTTTTTTTTTTTTTTTTTTTTTTTTTAAAAAAAAAAAAAAAAAAAAAAAAAATTCCTTTACTCTGTCTTTACAGTTTTTTTGTTTTGTTTTGTTTCTTTTTATTTTAATGTGTTTTCAAATCTCTAAGACACTAAAGTGTTAGCATTATATAAGGAGATTTTTTTTTTATAGTGGATAGGCAGGATCTCAGAAGGCCCACCATTATTCATTTTAAGTAAATGTCAGTTGGTTTAGATGGCTAAGAGGCTACTAAAAAAAAATGTCGGTAAGGTCCAATACAGCACAAAAATATCTCACTGTATCAATAGTTTTGTCAAGAAAGCATTGAGGATAGCAGCATGGTTGGGAGACATTATTCCCTTTAGTTGTCCATAATCTACTGTCATCTTCCATGAACCGTCTAGCCGCCTCAGCCTGGAGTACTGTTGTTGCTATGGGGCAGCTGTGCATCTCTTCATCCTTGATAGTCTCTGTAGGGCTGACTTGCATGGCTTAGCCTGGCTGAGGCCCAAGAGCTTCATTCAAGACTGCTCTTGGAGTTGGATCCCCAGTTCTGACAGACTCTGGACCAGTACTCTGTTCCTTTTCTGTCAGCCATACTTGGCTGCTGAAAGGGCTCTAGGCTATGCTAGCAATGTCTACCCCTACTATACTTCCTTTCAGGGCAGAAATGTATAGTGTATGTTCTGGGAGAATAATTCTCCACCCCTAGGATAAGCTTTTTGTATGTGTGCTTGTATTGGTGTACACATTTGTGGTAGTGTATGTGTGCATAATGTGTGTGGAGGTCCAAGGACAATCTTTAGTGTCAGTTCTCGGGTGCCTTCACCTTTTGTTTAAGACAGGGTCTGTCACTGGTTTGGAACTTCAGCGTGTATGTTAGGCTGGCTAGTCAGTGAACTTCCAGAGGTCCTTGTCCCCACTTCCACCTCACATTACTGGGATTATAAACGTCACCGAGTCCGGCTTTTTACATAGGTTCTAGGGGTGTAAACTCAGGTTTTCTTGCCTTTAGGCAAGTACTTTACTAACTGAACAGTCTCTCCAGCCAAAGCGTAATCTTTTTTTAAATTTTGTATTGTTTATCATTTACGTCTTGTCTGAGCTAGCATTCAGGCTTTAAAGTATTCCAGAAGTATAGCATTTTTATGTTGTTTTGTGTGTGTGCACATGTTCGTGTGTGTGTTTGTGTGTGTGTGTCTAGGGCAGAGGTCAGTGTGGTGTATCTTCCTCAATTGCTGTCCACATTACTTTTTGAGATATGGTCTCTCACTGAACCTGGATGGAGTTCAGAGATTCAGCTAGACTGACCAGATAGCCTCCTGTTTCCACTCTCCCATCACTGGGATTACAGGCATGCACTATCACATGCCTTTTTTATGTGGATACTGGGCATTGAACTCACATCCTTATGCTTACAAAGCAAGTGCTTTATTGACTGAGCCATTTCCCCAGATCCCTAGCTTTTTTTTCCCTAGAAATTCTGGCTTGACACAAATCTTGTCATATTTGCCTTTGAGTGACTTGGACTGATCCCTTTGTCAGCTTTGCTTTTGTTGAGCCCCTCTTGTTTATTTTATAAACCTGATTTAGATGTAGATTAAATTCATTTAGATTAGATCTGCCAGAGCTTTTCCTACCTCACAAAGATTATATACTGTCATGGGCCTCAGTAAAGCCATTTAAGTCTCACATTAGTCCCAAGGGTCCCTGCTGAATCAACCTCTCTTTTTAGTTCTCTTGTGAACACAGTTCTATTAGGCCTGGTGAGTTGGGTATCAAACATCACTTCTCTCATGCTTATGTCCTTCAGTAATTTCTGTCCCTCCTCTATTACCTTTTAGTCCCTGATATTTATGGGGATCTCAGCTGATGATAACCAAGTGTGCCTAATGGTTCATATAAGCTAGTCTGTCAGGCTTTATTCTCACACTGTGTAGTCTGTCTCAAGCAAGGATGGATAGCTATTTATTTTTTTGTTTTTAGAGCATTCAGACTGATTCCATTTACCTCCATGAAACAGCAAGCCAATACCTCCATCTTACCCTCCAAAGCTAAATCAAAGGCTTATGTAGAGGATGGTGTCCACATGTCTTTCTTGTAATTTCTTTCTTACATGGGCATGTTCCTTCTGGGTACACACCTAGGTTCAGTTGTATGTCTTATTGCTTACAGTAAAGGCCATTTAATAGTCGCCATAGCCTGCTTATGATTCTGTCCTATGTGTGTTCAAAAAAAAAAGGGGGATTGTAATGTATTCTCTGATTTGTTACCGTTTGGGGGGCCTCCTCATATTTTTGTGGACACAAGCTACTCAATACCAAGTAAAGAAAATGGCTACCCTGAGACTCTCCTCAAGGATGATCCATTCTCACATGGCTTGGTTTTTGGTTTCATGTCCTATTTC